GCTATTGAGGGCATTATTGTCATTTTTCCTCCCCCAAAGCAAAAGTACACAAATACTCCCAACTAGTTGTTTATAGATATTAGGGCATATGTATGTAAACCCCTCCACTGTCATTAGTGGGCCAAAGCGGCCTGTAGTAGGCAGCGCTAGTGGGTAATGTTGTGCCAAGCCATGGGCCATGTCATGCCAAGCCATGGGCCATGTCGTGCCAGGCCACAGGTCTGTACCAACATGGCCCACTTTTCATGTCATGTTGTACCGACCTATGGGTCTCAAAACCTAAGCCTGACACAACTCGATTGCTATAGTGATAAGGCTATGCTTGACATGGCCTATGTCGTGCCAACCCGTGGGCAACAAATGATCAAACGCTTCAATCAGACAATCATTGCATCCCATGTTTAATTCATTCCATTGTTGTTCACAGTGATTTCAACCCGTTATTGACCTGGTTGGTCGAACCATTTGAACCGTCACCTAGCCAAGATTCGAGTCATGTTCAATCAAGACCCGTCAGATGGTCAAAAACCATTAATTTGCATTTATCAAGAACCATTCGACCCGGCTGGTTCAACCGTTGACCCATTTGACTTGGTCATCGAGTCACGGGTTGCACATTCAATGTATGAAAACATTCGGAGGCCATAACTTTTCACTTTGATGTCCGATTGGGGTGACTTTTTGTTTGTTTTGGTTAATTTTTTTAGATCTATGTGTCCCAAGGAGTCGTAGGCGCCTTGCCCCGCTTTTTTCATAAGAACCCCTATTTTTGGCCTCAAATTTCAAATTTTAATATTTTTATGAATAAAAAAATTAAAAACTGAGTTAAAAAATATAAATTAAATATAAAAATACATATAACATATCTAAAACATATTTATACATTATTTATTGATAAAATATATATTTACACACACATATATACATATACATACATACATACATACATATATATATATATATATATATATAATGTGGCACGGCCTGAACCATTCGACCCAACCTGGTTGAACCGATGACCCATGACCCGGAGGCAAAAACAGTTTGGCCTCCGAGTCGATTTTTATAACAATGGTTGTTCATCTTCTATGAATCGAGATTTATCTTGTCTTTTTTTTTTTTTTTTTAAGAATCTACAATTATGAAACTTAATCTGGTGAATTGTGCATGTTATCAAGGTGATTCAACCTGCGTAAGCGAATTAAAGTAGTAAATTTGTTTTGTTCTTTCAGATCTACAATAGGATAGGCGGTGGAATCATGAATCAGAATCATGGTTACTGTTAACCTTTTATAGCGCATCAGGAGGTAGATAGCCCATATACACTTACATCTTGGTTCAGACCTTGGACAATTCCACCGTGCCAAGTATTTATTTTTTCAGAGTCTTTGGACTACAATTCTTTGAGCCAAATATCTTGGTAATAATTCATCCTTCTGGGGAGTTAAAAACTGCATCAATCTTGGGGTATTTTGTCATGTATGCTTCTGGGTCGACGTCTCATTAAGAAAGGACTACTTTGGGTGATTAAATTCGGGTTGGAATGTTAATGTTCTTGACGACCCATGGTTAGAAGGTTGGTCTCCTGATGCTCTCAAGGAGGCTGGGATAACTTACAATCCAAGGGTAGCCACTTTGATTAATCCCACCTCCAAAGACTGGGATCGTAACTTCCTCTCTCAAATCTTTCTTACTCTCGTTATTAATAGCATTCTTCACACTTATTTACCAAAGGAAAGATTGAACGACTCTGGTATGTTAATTTGGAAATCATCATCTAATGGATCATTTTTCGATGGCCTCCGCTTATAATTTTTAGGACAAGATGTGGCTGATTCATCGAACTCTCACCGTAGCCTTTGGCGATGTATCTTGGAAGAAATTCTGGGCTTTTAAACACATTCCTCGAGTTCATTTATTCATATGGAAATGTCTGTTCCAGTTAAGTTGGAGTTGGCCCGTAGCCATATGCACATAGACATTCTTCGCCTGTTATGTGGGAAACATGAAGAATCTTTGGATCATTTTTATTACTGCACTGCCCAATTGCACAACAGATTTTGTTTTGCTTCTCCTATTGGACTAAAGATTTATATGCATTTAGATTGGTATCTTATTTCCTAGGGGGCGTTCTTTTTTTTTTGGATTTTGAGAGGGGGGAATTTGGTCAATGCGATTGGTTCCTATTTATGTGGAGACCAGGGAAAGTTGATTTTCCGGGGTTACCGGAATAAGCGATACCCATCTCCTATGTGGGTAAATAACTTCTCCACCTATGGGAAAATTGTCAACACTTAAATGGGATAGAAATGCCCCTTTAAATAATGAATTTTTATGATTAAAATGGTCATTACATTATTTATCTGGGAAATAAAAGAAAATGGGTAAATGCACTTACCCAGGTAAGTATTCCACAGGAAAAACTTACCCAAGTAATTAATTGCATTTACCTGAATAAGTAACTTATCGAAAAACAAACAAGGTCCTAACTTCAACATTGGTTTGGGTTGGAGAATCCATGTAATCCTAATATTTTATCATTGTTTGCCAAATGTAGCATAGTCCTATGGCATATTTGGACTGCAAGATGCTTTATTCTCATCTTTGCTCAACTCAATGATTTGGAATGAAGCTCATATTTTAAACTCTGAGTCAAGGCCTTTCTCTCATTCCCCTTCAGATGCTCCAGTTGAGACTACTTCTCTAGTATGGAAACGTCGTCCTCCTAATCATATAAAAATTAATTTCGATAGAGCTACAAATGAAAATTACACAGGTGCGGGAATTATAGCTCGTGATTCTTCCAGTCATATGATTGTGGCAAGATCAATTAAACATAGACCTTGCTCTTCTTTGGAGATAGAAGCTTTGGCCCTTCTGATTGTATTTTGAACTGAGGATGAATGCAAGCTTTGCCTTTAAGGTGTATAAAAAGTTTTTTTTTTTTTTTTCATGATAATACCTGCTACGAAAGATTAAGATATATGGTGCTAGGTATGATTTCTCTTTCGTTCTAGTCTTCTAAATCTTCAAACTATTGTTCATCGGGCTTGATTTGAAAGGTTGATATGATGCATGTTGCAAGTTTGGCTTTCCGATGGGAAAATTAATCAAAGTTATTTTGTCGATTGAACCATACCATGATTATAACTGGTTTATTGAACAAAAAGCAAAACCAAGGGATTTCCCACACCATAATGTTATTGACCAGTTGGTTTACCCGTTTAGGATAAATGAGGATATGCCCTTTTCCCTTTGATCCATTCTAGCTAGTCTTCTCACAAGCATCGGTTGCCAATCATGGGTTATTCAAGAACCACATTAACGTTTAAGAACCACATTCCGAACAATGTTTTTAGTAATATAGTGACAACACTATTTTCATACTTATACATAAAAGGGAAAATTATAGTCAGAGCTGGCCCAATATTTAAAATGACACTGTAGGATGATTCATAAGCCAACAAAACTTTGATAGCTGGCTATACATTTCAAATTATAACCCACAATGTCATTGGAGGCATATGTGGTTGTTGCCAATATGGGACTCTTAATCCATGTTGGACACAGCATGGATTAGTTGAAAATAAACAAAAAGGGTTTCCACTTTCTCTCCCACTTCCTTTGTCTTTCGATCTCCCTCCCACTCTTTCACTATCACAATTATCTCTCCTTGCTCAACGACTGTGTGAAAAGGGTTTTACAATCTCTCAATCAATCTCTCTCATTCTCTCCCTCTTTGTCAATATATTGTTCTCCCTCAATCTCTATCATTTTGTTTCTCATTTAATCTTTCCATCTCCCTCATTCTTTCTCTCGGTTGATCTCTCCTTCTCCCTCAGTCTCTGTCATTCTTTCTCAATTTATTTCTCACTCCATCTCTTGTTTTTTTTTTTCACACACATACAATATTAACAAAACTGTATTGAAGAGCATAAGACCAACTTGGTATGGTTCTAACTCCCTTAGCCCAATTTGATATAAATTCATAAGAAACTCTTGACTATGAAATTTATACCAACTTGATAGAAATTTATAACTTGATTGTACAAATTGTTGGTCCCTTGACTAACTTATAACTTATACGGTCTGATTAATACCGTATAAGTTTCTATAAAAAATAAAAGAACGAGGGAGGGAGTGGGAGAAAAACACATTGGTGTTTGGGAAGTGATTAACTTGTACCGTATAAGTTTCCTATATTTATTTTGATCTTTGTGTAAGGTCATGTTTAGGAGTGATTAAAAATAAGTGCTTGTTTAGACTAAGGACTACACTATTAAATAACACTTATTGGTGTTTGGGAAATAAGCTCAAAATAGCGTATTTTAAAAATAAGGGCTTATTTTTTAGGGAGAATGACGGTTCAGCCCAGGGTTAGAATTTTTAGGCCCATGGTACTATTGGGGTAGGTGCCAGCTTGGAATGGATGCCAATTCACGGGCGAGCATTGGTGCATAGATTGTGGGTATTTGAAATTTTGAATGTTTATAAATCTACAGTGGAATTCAGAAATCTGCATTGGGCCTGTCAGACTTTTCCATATTTTTTAAGCCCGAATTTCCAGTTTTTTTAAGTGCTTAAACAATAAGCACTTATTCAATTTTTTCAATCAAAACTGTTCCCATTTAGTTTTTACAATTCCATTTATGCCCTTCGAGTGTATAAGTTTTCTTCTCCATTGCTCTTTGCAACCAGCGGCAGCTTCCCCTTGGTTTTCTCCTTTCTCCCTTCCATCATTTCCTTTCCTTGCATTTCTCTCTCTCTCTCTCTCCTTCATTCATTCTTCTTCCTTCATTCCAGGCAACCCAGGCCTGAACCGGTTTGTCCTCCCCTGTCCCATTTTTTGCTCCCGATAGCCAGCCTTTGAGCCAATAGTGGATATACCCATCTGTGCACCTACCATATAGCACCGCACCATCTGCAGTCAGAGATAGTGCCTTCACTGGGGAGTTCTTGGCCGGGAAGGTTACGGTGAAATGTTCTGTATTTTGATATTGATGGGCAATTTCCTTTCTGCCACAGGTGACAGTGTTGGTAGCGGTCCGGCCATGGTGGAGATTCAGGAGAAGCGGAGAAGCAGGAGCATCTCCTCTGCTTTGCCTATAAACAATCTCGACGACGGTTGTCTTATGCACATCTTTAGTTTCCTATCCCCAATTCCAGATAGGTATAACACCGCCCTTGTTTGCCAAAAATGGCGTTTCCTGGCATGCCATCCTCATCTATGGCTTCGTGTACACCAATCCATCAAGAGTCCAACTGAACCTGGAGTTTTTCCTGACATTGAAATTGCCATTTCTACTACAAGTCATCTTGCCTGTAATATTTAGATTAAAAAGCCATTTTGCATGATTGGAGGGGGCGAGCTTCCTGATGGCACAATATTGATATGCTCTCGGGGGTCAGATAGTGCACTGGAATTCCTGTCCACTTGACTTGTAAGGTGGAGAATCTTAAAGGGCAGAGCTGGGTTGCTGCTTGCTTCAGCGGAGTGGAAGGCTGACCATAGAGGAATGCACGCTCCAGTGTAAGGATAACCCCTTAGACTACCTYTCATGCCCAATTGTGAGTACTGCCAGTGGTTCGAGTGAGTTCTGATTAGGGGTGTCCATAAAAACCAAAAAATCAAAAAACCAAATCAAACAGAGAAAACCAAACAGGAAATGCAGTTAGTCGAATCGATTGGTTCGGTTTTGGTTTGGTAATTTTGAAAAACCGAAGGACCGGTTTGATTTTTGGTACCTAGAAAAAACTGGTAGCTAACTAAACCAACTGGTATACATATTTATATGTTAATTACATATATTTTTAATATATGTCACATATTATCTATATATAATATATAATATATTATAAATACAATATATATTGTATATACTTATATATTTATAATATATTATAATATACATATTTACAAGATATTATACTTATATATTTATATAATATATTATAAATATAAAAACCAAAAAACCAAACAATTGAATCGATAAAAAATTGAAAATGGTCAATCAATTAACCGGTGGTACCAGTTCGGTTTGGGTTTGGAGAAATAGTAAAAATGGTAGGACCAGTTCGATTTGAAAAAAAATGCCAATGGTTCGGCTAATCGAATTGTGAACACCCTTAGTTCCCATCATCAGTAGCAAAGAATTGTGATGACAGTGTAGGAGGCAACACTAAGGCTATTTTGATAGTGGAACCCTAGTTTTACAACATATACAAGTCATCTATGCTCGAACTGCTATATTTTTCTGGTTTGATGTAGTGCATAAGTAACTAATTATATTGTCCTTAGCAGTTATGTTAGTAGAGATGAGACAGTTAATGGTTGCAAAGGACCTTGGTTTTGAATGTGCTTTGATGGATGTGATTGAATGAAAATAGGCATCCTCCTCATCTCTACTTTCACTTGTTTGATCCATATTTCATTTCATTGTTGTTCTGAGAGAGAGAGAGAGAGAGAGAGAGAGAGAGAGAGAGAGAGAGAGAGAGAGAGAGAGAGAGAGAGCCCACTACCCACAAGGTATATTTTTAAAATTTGAAAAAAAATGATGGACAAAATAATCACAAGTACTTATTTAAGTGCTTATTGGAGAAAAAGGCTACCAAACGTCCAATATGAGATAAGTGCTTATTCAAATAAGCACTTGTTTTTAAGCCCTTATTGTTAACATAAGCACTCCCAATCATAGCCTAACTTTATTTCGTAGTTCTAACCTTGGTCTTAGAAATGAATTGTAGGCTTCAATTTTGAATTTATGATGTTCTTGTAGGTAAGCATTTCAAAAATTCCATAATCTCATGCACCCTTATACTTGTTGGAACCAATGGCTTTACCTAAGAGGGGGTGAATTGGGTAGAGAATTAAAAAATTGAGTCTTGGAATTCAATCCAAATTTTTAGACTCCTGATAGTCAAGAACGAAACCCTTCCCCTTAAACTAAATCTAAGCCTTCTTGACAATCATGATGCAATGAAAGTTTAGGCTAGGTCATTTTAGTTCAGAAATTAATCAAGATACTACTCTTTGATTAACCAAACTACTGAATAGCAACTACAAAGATAAATAAACAAGTATGCTAGGTAGTGTATGCCCTTAGCTCTAATGAGATTGATGTACACCGACTTTTATGTATTAATAATATGAGTATATTATTGTTGTATGTTTAAATTGGTGTGTTTCTCTATATTATTCCTTAAGCTGGACACTTATGAAACTTGTGTTAATTTAGAATGATCTAAGCCATTGGATAAATTTGGAGAATTTATCCTAACAAGACTGACACTGATGTGATATGGAATTAGTGGAACAATTTGTCTTAGCTACTAGGTTAGACCCAAGTGCAGTCAATGGGAGTTTATGAGAAGCATTGAAAATGGGTCAATTTCTAGTATATCCTAGAATTTGGAGATAGATGGGCAAAATTAAAAAGTTACACTTAACCTCATACTTGATTATGATACTACACTAGGTCTTGGACTAACGTTGACTTTGACATGCCAACCAGTGAGATCCACTTAAGGTCAAATACATAGGTATTTGGGAGCAGTTCAAGATATTGTCCAAGCGAGTGATCATAGTGATAGGATCAAACCCTTTGTTAGATAAAATAAATATCAGGGTTTACACTCTCTTTGATAGAAACCTAAAAGTACCCATAGTGGATTTCAACTGTATTTAAAATTAGATTTGCAAATTCTATTTATATTTATATTATGTTATTTTCTGAAAAAGGTTTGTAAAATGTTTTAATTTCAGGATCCATTTGAGTAGAGGGTGTGACATTGCATTTTGTAGTCAAGGAAGAGGTCCTTGTGAGCAATGTTTTGATTATTTAGGGTTGAGTGGTTAAGGGAAGAGACCATTATAAGGCCTATAACCTGATGGACTTTACTTATTATTAGTCCATTATCCTTGGGTTTCATAGGGTGCCTGAAACCAAAGGTCACTTAGACTCAAGTGTTGGGACCAAATTAAGCCCAACTTAGATTAGGAAAATTCCTAATTTCTAGTGTTTACATTAGGAAAAATCCTAGTACATTTTGTCTAAAAATAAACAAAAATATTAATTACAAACTGAATATGAATGTAAAATCGCATGGTGTGTATTAAACTTGCCACCACATGGAATTCGATCTCCATCACACTTTTAGCCTATGAATTTAAAATTCATCACAAAATTATTCTAAATAATCATCATAAAATAAAATAATTACATTTCAGATTGTTGGCCCAAAACTAAGAACCAAATTCTCAGTTCATATGCTAACTTGGTCAAATTGGCCAGATTTATGCTGATTTGACATTTATTTCAAATCTGATTTGGTTCAGTCCAAAAACTGAACCTAGTGGTCTAATACCACTGTTAAAAGGGTGGGTTAGAAATAAAATACCATTATTGGAAGGGTTTGAAATCAAATTTGAAATCTGAAATTTCAAGATCGCTCTTACACTAAACCGCTACAGATTTGAAACACAAATTAACATTGATTGTACCTACTGATACGGAGACCATAGTGTGCAGCTCTCAAAGTGGTAGTTCATGCCCAATATCAAACTCAAGATTCCTCCAACTGAAGATGGCACAATTGTGTATGCAAAGCCAATTCTACAACACTCTTTCATCAAAATCGATTCCCAACTTGTTTGGATTGATGTGGCTTTATGAACCTGATATCCTCTGATGTTTTTCTTTCCAAAACATAGTAGAGAACAGATGGAAATCAATCCCTAACACAAATGGGTCAAATTAGGTTTTCTAGGAAGCAAGGGAGAAGAAAAAATAGCAAGAGAATGGAGATAACTTAGTGAATCATCCCTTCCTTCTTAGTCCCTTATATAAAGCACTCTCTTAATCATATTAGGAGATGATCCAAATCAGATTTGGATCATGACTTTATCTTTAATTGATAAGCATTACCTTCTTAAGAGAATGAGTGCTCCATACCCAGATCTATACCCATTTTCGACCCAAGTTACAATTGTCATGTGATCTCTTAACTAATCATATTAGCAATGGGTCTTAAACCCATTTTAATTAATGGTTTACATCCTAAGGTGTTGCATGGCCACTTTGTGCCTAATGTTGTATGGAATGGAACTTACAAAGGTCTCACACAAGTCCATAAGGGTTCAACCTCACCTTTAAAAGAGGTTAAGCTAAATTCACTACTCGGGGGTAATGAACCCCTAACCTAATAATCATCTTGGACTCAGTTTAGGTTCAATATTTTCACATAAATAATGCTTGGATTCATCCACCCTATGAAGACCCAGGGATAATGGACTTGTGTAAGATCAAGTACACTGCATAATTAGCCATGGTCTCTTGCATCTAACCTCTCGGCCCATAATCATCAAAACACTATTCACAAGGAAGGGCTTCTTCCCTGTCTGCAAAATGCATTGTCACACTCTTTGCTCGGATGGATCTCGTGATTGAAACATTTTGCAAACATTTTTCATAAAATAGTAATATTACATATAATTACATTTTGCAAATCAGATTTCAGATATAGTTAAAATCCACTATTGGCAGTTTTGTTTTCCATCAGAGAGAGTGGAAACCTTAATATTCACTTTGTTTGATAAAAGGGTCAATCTTATCATTATGATCATTCACTCAGGTAATTTTCTAAATTTCCCTAATATACCAAAGTATTTGACCCTTAATAGATTTCGCTAGTTGGCATATCAAAGATAGTCCAATCCAAAACCTAATGTAGTATCATAATCAAGTCTGGGGTTAAGACAAGTTGTTTCATCAATCCGGCAACACGCCAATATCAACCTTGTCAAGATAAACTCCCCAAGCCTATCAAATGATAGAAATAAGAATATTAATAAAATAGAAATAGCCTTGTTAAGATAAATAGTAATAATAATAAAAATATTAATAAAATAGAAATAGGCTTGATTCTTTTGTGTTGGTTTGTTCTTAATTTGTTTTGCCTTATTGATTTATTATTATTCTCTTACTTAACTGAATAATTATCTATTTGTGATTGTGCATGTTTGGAATCCCATGTGAGTCCTACCTATTGCACCCGAAAGAGGGGAGCCTAACCCCATCCTTTTCCCATCCGAGTTTTACTCGGATTGGTTCAGTTAGTGCCTTAGGTCTTGGAATTATTATAAATGAAAAATGAGTTTTGATGCAATTCCTAGAGGTCCCATGACCTCCATTTCACTTGACAAATGGGTCACAACTCCAAATCATCCCAAGTAAACCATTTTTTGACGTTCATAATTGCAAATCATTTCCTTGGAAAATCTTTGCCCTTTTGCATGAAAACACTCTCTTAAAGCCCAAACTTTGTGATTGGGTGAAATTCAAATCTGGTTTCTCTTCCTTTCTTTATAAATAGGGACCCAATTCGAGCCAAGAGAAGGATGAGTATCTAGAAACCATTCCCAACCACTATAAAGGTCCCATATGCAAGAAATATCCAAGTCTTTGAGCCTTGAACATCAAATCCACCCCAATGTGTTTCAGATTTTGGGTTTGCAAGAGCTCTCAAAATATTTAATACTCGCAAATTTCCCTTGACATTAGAAGGGCGACTCGAAGCATTCCACCAATTAAAGAGTTCGTTCAAACACCATTTTTCATATGATTCATTTACTGGAAAATTCTTGCCAAAGTTACATATGAGAGGTAAGCCTCTTTATCTTTTTTTATTAGTCAAGTTCATAGTTCTTAAGTTTATATATTTTGGTTCAAGGATGCTTAAAGTGACAAAAACTTGCAGAACTTGCACTTTCAGCTTCTTCTAATTTGGGATAAAGAGAAAGAGAGGTGAGGGTCTTAGGAAAATTATTACCTAAGACCCGGTAACATCCCAAAAAACTAGTTCCAAGAGAAGTTGGAAATCTTTTTCATAAGATTTTGGGAATCAAAAATCTAATAAAAATCTACTGTTTTTTATTAGAAATTAAGCCTAAGAACTCCTATGTTGTGCTACTACAACAACTTTGAGAAAGGGGTGTCTAACACCTTCTCTCTTTTAATCCATCAACATCCAAAAATCTCTTGGTAGAGTGCCTCTCTCATGAAAAATGGAGTCACTATTTTGAAGACAAATCAAATTTTAAAAGATAAAATGATGACCCATTTGCTCTAAAAATGGGTGGTGACTCCTCCTTTGAGCTGGCCATGAGCTTCCTAGAGCTCATAGTAATGATTTTAAATAGGAAAGAAATTTAGAAATGATTACTTTTGCCTTAATTTACAAAATCAATAGTGACACATGGTAGGTATATAGAACAATTAGCGGT